CGGGAACACTTTGCGGCTCTATCTTATTGTTCACAAAGGCAAGATGAAATGCCAAGTCACGCTTGCACAATCTTCACTTCTTTGGTCTCTCCTTCCTCTTCCTCACACTCCTCTTTCCTTCCTCTGAAATTTTTCAGTTTCACAAAGTTCAAGGCCAGAAGGGTCCATCAGATCACCAAGTGTGGCCACTTGTATATCACAGGTCATTAAATTTCACCTAAACACCCATATTCAGTTCAAATTTAGTTAGCAAAACACATTTCAGTTGTCAGGAAACTGCATTGTGTGCTGCAGGCAGAGACCAGGAGAGACTAAGGGCTCATCTAGACTATGGGGATTTCACAAAGTTCAAGGCCAGAAGGGTCCATCAGATCACCAAGTGTGGCCACTTGTATATCACAGGTCATTAAATTTCACCTAAACACCCATATTCAGTTCAAATTTAGTTAGCAAAACACATTTCAGTTGTCAGGAAACTGCATTGTGTGCTGCAGGCAGAGACCAGGAGAGACTAAGGGCTCATCTAGACTATGGGGAACGGTCAAAAGAGGAATTTACAATCGGAAGAAGATATGCAAATTCCTGTGGAATTTGCATATCTTCTTTCAACCGTTTCTCATAGTCTAGATGAGCCGTAAGTGACACCAAGACTCCTGTAATGCAGGGAATTGATTAGATGAGCTATACATGAACAGGACCACCCACAGACTCAAATTCCAAAGCCAAAAAGAACCATTATGATAACCAGTCCCAGTCCCAGTCACGTGTCACAGGCTGCAGAATTTGTCTTTTCTATGTATCACGTCATCACTCAATTTTCTCTCTGATAAACTGAATAAGTTGAGCTCCTTCAGTATCTCCTTTTATGCCCACCAAATTTCCATTTCCTTTACACAGTGGTTTTCAAATTGTTTGACCACCAGCTACTAATGGAAACTTGCCATTGATTACATAATTACACCCATGCCATTTAGCTAGTGCTGTAGCTAAGGAGAACAGTTTAATTTAACCAGTAAGAAAGGAAATATTACTTTAAATGATAAAACAGATTAAGTGCTTTAACTTTGTTAGTTTCTCAAATTTCATTTCAAATAACGTAAGATATTAATTTATGTCCAACACAAAAGGTTTCAATGTTTTCTTTATTTATAAGCTTCAAAGGGGTAGCTGAGTTAGTCTCTAACTAACTTCTTCAGTGGGCTGTGCCCACGAAAGTTCATGATACCATCTACATGTTTTGTTAGTCTTTAAGGTGCTGCAAGACTATTTGTTGTTTTTTAAGTTTTTCTTTATTTATGGCAGGGGTGGGAAAACTTTTTGGTGGTCGGGGACAACTGACCCACAGAAAAATCAGTTGGGGATGACCCAAGTAAGAAGCAAAAAAACCCCTGCAGAAACCCCCAACCCTCACTGATGTGACACCCAATTGTGATACCTCATTCCACTGGTGCCCCAGTCTCACACAGGACGGGGGGCTTCCCATAGACCAGATTTACTCTTCTGGGGTTCTGAGATTAGTGGATTTTGGCTTTATGCTTTAGGATGGGGACAAAAATGAGGGGTTCAGTGTGCAGAACGGGGCCGCCAGCAAATGGAATAGGGATGGGGATGCAGGAGGTGGGGGTGAGAGGTCTGGATGAGAGGTTGGATATAAGAGGGGGTGAAGGTGCAAGGTCTAGGTGGGAGACAGAATGCAGGAGCAGGCTGGGAGTAGGGTGTCTGGCCAGGAGGGAGAGTGGAGGAGCAGGCTGGGGAAATAAGGTGTCTTACTGTGGGGAGGGTGCAGGAGGAAGAGAGGGTAGAGGGACAGGGTGGAGGTGGGGTGTCTCTCCAGGGGGGAGGGTGCAGGAGTGCGTGGTCTCAACAGGGGAGGATATGAGGGCGGTGAGAATGAGGGGGTCTGGCCATGAGGTGATGGGGGGGGCACTTACTTGCTTTCGTGTCCCGCCCTGCTCCCAGGCTCTATGGCCTAGGTCTGGCCTCCTGCTGATCCCATTGGCCAGTCAATGGGAGCAGCAGGAAAAGCCTTCAGGCAGTGCATCTGTGTGCTGTTGTTCCCCCCCAGTCGGACCTTATTTCTCCATCATCTTTTTTTCATTACTCTCTGGGTACGTCTAGACTACACGCTTCTTTTGAAAGAGATCATCTAGACAGCCACAACTTCTTTCAAAAAAGCGATCCGCTTTTTTGAAAGAGAGCACCCAGGCAATTTTTCGAAAGCGATGAGGAATCCTGTGGCACCTTATAGACTAACAGATTTATTGGAGCATAAGATTTCATGGGCAAACACCCACTTCGTCAGATGCATGGATATAAGAAGTGGGTCTTTGCCCACAAAAGCTTATGCTCCAATAAATCTGTTAGTCTATAAGTTGCCACAAGACCCCTTATCGCTTTTGCAGATTCAGACTAACACCGCTACGCCTCTGATTTTTTCGAAAGAGCTTTCTCGAAAAAAGCGTTCCCCTATTAAAATGAGGTTTACAACTGTTGAAAAAACCGCCACATTCTTTTGATTTAATTTCGAAAGAACGCAGCGGCAGTCTAGATGCATGTGAAGTTTTTTTTCGAAAAAAGGCTACTTTTTTTGAAAAAAACCTGTAGTCTAGACATAGCTTCTGTGTCTACCCTTTTTGTCTCCTTCTCTTCCCACTATTATTTGGACTCCAACTGGATGGAGGAGAACAGGGAAAGCCACTGTCAGCTGCCTACTTGATGCTTCTGCAGGTAGATGCACTTATTAGGTGCTCATCTCATCCTCTATACTGACTTGCTCTATCCTGAACCATGCAGAAGAACTTTTAATACCGTCTTGCATGACCTTCTCAAACATAAACTAGGGAAATGCAATTTAGATGGAGCTACTATAAAGTGTGTGCAGAACTGGTTGGAAACCAGAGTAGTTATCAGTGATTCACAATCATGATTGAAAGGCATAATGAGTGGGGTTCCACAAGAATCAGTTCTGGGTCCAGTTCTGTTCAATATATTCATCAATAAGATAGATAATGGTATTGAGAATACACTTATAACGTTTTGAGGATGGGATTAAAATTCAAAATGAACTGTACAAACTGGAGAAATGGTCTGAAGTAAATAGGATGAAATTCAATATGACCAAACTCAAAGTACTCTATTTAGGAAGCAACAATTGTTGCACACATACAAAATGAAAAATGACTGTTTAGGAAGTAGAAAGAAAGGGATCTGGGGGCCTTAGTAGACCACAAGCTAAATAGAAGCTAACAGTGTACGATTGTGGCAAAAAAAATGATCATCATTCTGAGATGTATTGACAGGAATGTTGTCAATAAGGCACAAGAAGTAATTCCACTATACTCTGCACTTTTTAGACCTCAATGGGAGTAGTGTGTCCAGTTCTGGGCATCGTATTTCAGGAAAGATGTGGACAAACTGGAAAAAGTGCAGAAAAGAACAACAAAAATGATTTAAGGACTAGAAAACATGATTTAGGAAGGGAAGATTTTAAAAATTGAGCTTGTTTAGTCTGGAAAAGAGAAGACTGAGAGGGAACAATTTTCAAATACATAAAAGGTTGTTACAAGAAGGAGGGAAAAATTCTCTTCTCAACATCTGAGGATAGAACAAGAAGCAATGGATTTAAATTACAGCAAGGGAGGTTTATGGTTGACATTAGGAATAACTTCCTGACATGGTGGTTAAGTACTGGAATAAATTGACTATAGAAGTTGTAGAATCTCCATAATTGGAAATTTTAAAGAGCAGGATAGACAAAAACCAGTCAGGGATCGTCTAGATGATGCTTAGTCCTGCCATGAGTTCAGGGGACTCTACTAGATGACCCCTCAAGGTCACTTTCAGTTCTATGATTCTATATCTTGGAAACTGCAGTAGTCTCTATAGTATTACTATACTGTTTCACAATGTTTTGGTACCACAGAAGGAGGACAAGAAGAAAGTTGATAAACATAGAGGAAGACGCAGCAGAGTTTGGAGGGAGCATAGGTGTGATGGGATAGAGAGGACTCAAAATTCAAGTCATGCTTGCAAACAGGGGAGACAAGCAGTACAGGGGAAGTAATGATGCCAGAAAAAGGTGTAAGAAGAGACTTCCTAGATGGAAAAATAATAAGCACTGTTTTAGCCATACTGATTCTGAGGTGGTTGCAAGAATGAAAAATACATTAGAGAAATGCAGAGATGCAGGGCTGCACAACAGGAGAATGGCCAGAGACTGAGAAATATATTTGTGAAACAACAGAAACACAAGAGATAAAAACCATGGGAGAAAAAGAGGTCACCCTGGGAGACAATGCAGACGGAGAAAGAAAAGGCGGGAGGAGGATTCAGACACTTGGGGGACACGAGTAGACAGGCCTGTGTATCATTCTGCCACTGATGTTCCATGCTCCCAACCCCCATGCCAAATAATTGGCTCATCTCTCATTACCTGCCAATATACAAATATTCAGCGGATTCTTATCTAACTTGATCACATCTCACCCTGCATGAATATGAATGAACAATATAAACCCGGGAAAAAACTAAGCAAGTTGGGTAACCTCATGTCCCACTGTCAAGAGGAAAAGTAGTAGACCAAGAAGTGGAGAATGGAGATGTTGATTCAGAAACCAAGTTGAAAAATGAGAAGATAGAAAGGGAGAATATATATATAAATATAATTTCAGCAAGCAATCACACGCCATAAGAAAGGAAATTCAATGCAAAAATACCCCCACACAATTTGGATTGTTAGAGTGTTAAGGTTGGGAATTTAAAACACAGAATAGTCTGAAAGTTCAAATTTATGACTGCCAAATTTGCTAAAATTCAGGCTTGCTGAAATCACTGCATATATTAAGAGATAAAGCTTCCAATTTTACAAATATAACAAGTGAGTTGAGTTAAGGTGTTTCAGGAAAAATAACTTTGAATTTCCTGTCTTTGTTATGTTTAATTCCTAAACCATAGATTTTGCATTAATACTTATACTTAGGAGGTAAGTAGGCTGCAGACACCTGGGAAGAGGGGTTGTCTTTGTTTGGGTTGAGTAGCACTGAGCATAATAAAGGTCCTCTGAGTGAAGCCACAGATGCTACCTACAGTACAAACAACAAACCATAAAACCACAGTTTTTGCATTGATAATGTATATAGATTTATATAATTTACAGTAAGGATTAAATTAAATCAGAGGCATCATTGTTTTTTATTGTGCTATATCATACCTTGGAATAGCACTTCAAAGACTACTAGCATAATCTTTCCTAAAAGCGTTCTATAGCCAAAGGAAAGCAAAACTTCACTGCAGTAAGCTTGGCAGGCAGCCTACTCTTAGTTATACAAGTGGTCATCTTGACTGAAACCCTCAACAATAAAAAGACATTGAAGCAACCTAGTAAGACTGAACAGGCTCAGCAATACACATGTAAACTAAGTGGAACACAAAAGATAAAGGAAAAGTAGACAAGAAAAAAAGCAATTTCAATAGGTCTCTTATATTTGTGACTTTAGACAAACTATCAACAAAGCTTTCCGCTTATGTGATTATCACTAGATCACATATTCCACCTTTCAATTCAAACATTTTAAAAGTTTAAGTTCAGCACTAAGGAACATATTTCCTCATTACTTTAATCTCCCTCTGCGCTGTTCCAATATAGATGTGAGTCAGTGAGGAATTAATGCAAGCTCTTTTGGAGGCAACCAAAGTCACAAGTACAGCCCTTGAATAATGCGTTGCTAATGTCTTTACTTGGTTTGTTTTAACAATTCCCCTCTTCCTACTTGACACTCAATGTAAAACATTATCTGTTTTCCTTACTGTCCTTTGCATCATCCAGAGTGAAAGGAGAAAAAGAAGGAAAAAGAACAAGACAAAAACTGTTTAACTCTTTATAAAATAAGTAAAAAGGAAGAAAGAATTGGGAAAAATGTATTAATATGCAACTTACCTACACAATCTCACTAAAGACCTATTTAATTACATATCTGAGACAGTTTGTAAGTCTGTCTGATGCCTGTGTGACACAAATACATCCATAACCTCCCAAAGACAGCTCTCAGATCTGGAAAATCACCTTATTAGACTTAAATGAACCCAAATTTATTTGTGGACAACAATATTTTAGACATCAAATGATTCTTGAAATTTGACGTTAACTTTATAGAGGATGAATCATAATATTTTTCTTTCACTAGACATGTATTATAAAAAAGGATGGTTGCCTGCAGAGAATAATCACATGTTCTAATTTCCATTTTGGTTATACACATAATTAATAACATTCTGGTTTAACAGGACATGCTGATTCTACAGACAGTTACATGCTTCAGGTCCAAAATCCAACTGTCAGCTTCACTACCAAAGACAAAGAAGCCATGATGCAGTGTTTTCAGCTTTGGTAACAATGAAAACATCTTTATACAAGGCATTGTGGTAAAATTAATTCTCCCATTTCTATCCACCCCTTAATTCTCCCCATGAGCCAAATATCAAGCATCACAATAGCATATTTGTACATGTAATTTTTTTATTATTTTGCTAAACTAGCATATGAAATTAGTTATACTGAAGAAATATGATAATACATTGCTATTGGAACTACACAATACGAGACTAGACAGAGTCTAGTAATTTGAATATCCACATTTCAGAAGCAAATTAAAGTATGGATAGCAGACTTACTGATTGTAAGCTTTCATTTTCACGAAGACAAGCTGTTTGGAGTTCTGATTTCAGGGCTGCAATGTGATGTCGATGAGATGCTATTTCTCTTTCCAGTGTAGCAACTCTGGAGCTTGTGAGTTGGTAGACATCTGTAAAACTTATCATCAGAGCCTTTAAAAAGTAAAGTAAATAATCAATACCATGTGAATCTTACATAAATGCCAGTATGCATACAGACAAAAAGTTATTATAGAATTACACTAACTTTTATGAATAAAGAAAAAGGTTGGATGATTTTTCTAAAGTTCAGCAGCAGTATTTAACAATTAAAAGACACAGAAAAGGTTTCTGTGGCCATACCAAAATTGAAACAGCAATAAAGAAAGCACACAACCTTGCACTTAAATTAGGGATTCTTTTCAAATATGTAGTAATAGAATCAACAGCTGATATTACTTTTCACTATACTTAATACAAGTTTCAGTGGAGGATCAATT